AAACTTTTTTTTTTTTTTTTTAAAATGACCTCATTTCCAACAGTTAGTTTGGTCTATCTTTGCCTAGTGAGTCAGTTCAGATTAGCCTAAGACAGGGGAAGGTGGGTGTGAGTAGGGTCCCTCCCAGCTCTCCAGTTATGGCCTGTGGCATCTGCAGCTGATAATCACTGCTGCCTCGCCCCTGCCGGGCATGTGCTTTGGTTATCCCTCTACTGACAGGGATGGATTTGTATTGGTCAGGCCATTCCTTCACCCTTGTCTTCAGTCCAGGGAAGGTGCCCACATAAAGACTACAATCCCAAGTTAGAGTGTCATCTATTAAAGTCAAGAGACCGTACCCTTGATCATTCTTGGCCCAGGATGCAATGCAGCATTTGGCCCATGGCAAGTGCTCAGTAAATAATGATAATAATAGAATAAAACAAAGCTGTCCAGGCGCGGTGGCTCCCGCCTGTAATCCCAGCACTTTGGGAGGCTGACGTGGGCAGATCATGAGGTCAGGAGATCGAGACCATCCTGGCCAACATGGTGAAACCCCATCTCTACTAAAACACAAAAAATTAGCTAGGCCCAGTGGTGGTGTGCACCTGTAGTCCCAGCTACTAGGGAGGCTGAGGCAGGGGAATCACTTGAACCCAGGAAGCAGAAATTGCAGTGAGCCGAGATTGCACTGCACTCCATTGCAAACAAACAAACGAAACAAAACAAAAACAAAGCCAACTAGCTCAAACTCATATCATGGGAGTCAAATAAACAATGTCATGAAAACAACTTTTTGTGACCAACTAGAGGAAAAACAGGTCTTACTCTCACCTGTGATGTTTTACGTTTCCTGGGATACGGCTCAGTGTGTGTACTGAGATATAAAACCATTACATGTCTTGTTTGGGAGAGATAGAAATGAGTGAGTCCAAAGGTTCTCGCTTTCTTCCCACATTAAGTATCTTCTCGCCTTTCGTTTTATTTTCTGTAACTGTGAGAAGAGGTTTCTTTTGTTTTTGTTTGTTTTGTTTTTTAACCTTCACACACTCACTGAGGTCTCTTTCTGCTCTAGTCTTTTTGCTAGAAGGTTAACATCCAGGTACATCAATATGCCTTCAAAAATTATTCCTCCCCCCAACAAAAATCCAGGAAACAGAATTTCTGTTTGTAAGTCTCCACAGGAAAAGCCACTAAAACTGGAAATTAAAAAAAAAAAAAATCCGGCCGGGCCGCGGTGGCTCAAGGCCTGTAATCCCAGTACGTTGGAGGCCAAGACGGGCGGATCGCGAGTCAGGAGATCGAGAACCATCCTGGCTAACACGGTGAAACCCCGTCTCTAACTTAAAAAATACAAAAAAAAAACTAGCCGGGCGCGCGGTGGCGGGCGCCTGTAGTCCCAGAATACTCGGAGCTGAGGCTGGAGAATGGCGTGAACCCCGGAGGCGGAGCTTGTAGTGAACGGAGATGCGCGTCCCACTGCGCTCCGCCCTGGGCGGACAGAGCCAGACTCCCGTCTCAAAAAAAAAAAAAAATAAAAAAAAAATGGGCATGTCAGAATCAAATGATGACATTACTGACCTCAGTTTTTAAACTTCCATTGGTGTTGTTGGACTAGGGTGCTATGTGGAGAAATCATGAAGGAGGGGAGTAGACAGAGACTTGCTCATCATCTGCAAAAGGCTATCATTACATCTCCATGGAAATAGGGTCATTTGGTGACAGTGTCAAACACAAGAGGAAAAACTGACTTTATTCAGGGACGCTTTATCAGGAAGGAATCACCTGCCTTCTCCCTAATGTGTCCTTCCAAAGCAAGCTGCATTTCTTCCTCATGAAAGCTAGGAAGGCATGTGGGCATGTAGCCACCGCGCTGCGAAATGCTCAGCGTGGTAGGAAGTCTACATGAAAGTGGAACCACCTGTGCAGTAGACACAGCGCTGTCGCATATGGCTGTGGTCACTGGAACAATTTTATTGGAAGATGGAGAAATTATTTTTAATCAAAGAAACAAAAAACTGGCTGGGCGCGGTGGCTCATGCCTGTAATCCCAGCACTTTGGGAGGCTGAGGCGGGCAGATAACGAGTTAGGAGATCCAGACCATCCTCGCCAACATGGTGAAACCCCGTCTCTACTAAAAATACAAAAATTAGCTGGGTGTGGTGGCGCGTGCCTATAATCCCAGCTACTCTGGAGGCTGAGGCAGGAAAATCGCTTGAATCAGGGAGGCAGAGGTTGCAGTGAGCCGAGATTGCGCCACAGCAGACCAGCCTGGCAACAGAGCGAGACTCTGTCTCAAAAAAAGAAAGAAAGAAAGAAAAGAAAGAAAAGAAAGGAAGAAAGGAAGAAAAAGAAAGAAGGAAGGAAGGAAAGAAAGAGAGAGAGAGAAAGAAAGAAAGAAAGAAAGAAAGAAAGAAAGAAAGAGAAAGAAAGAAAGAAAGAAAGAAAGAAAGAAAGAAAGAAAGAAAGAAAGAAAGAAAGACAGATAAACCTGAAATTAAAGGCAACTAAGCCAGCTGAAGAAATGTGGACCAGGATTTTTCTGAAACTTTTAGCATAGTAATGATTGTTTATACTAAGTTTGGTGACAACTTACGCAGATTTAATGTGTTCAAAACTATGCCTTTTCTGGCCGGGCACAGTGGCTCACACCTGTAATGCCAGCACTTTGGGAGGTCAAGGCAGGCAGATCACCAGAGATCAGGAGAACCAGCCTGGCCAATATATAGTGAAACCCCATCTCTACTAAAAAATACAAAAATTAGCTGGACCTGGTGGTGCACGCCTGTAGTCCCAGCTACTTGGGAAACTGAGGCAGAAGACTTGCTTGAACCCGAGAGGCAGAGGTTGCAGTGAGCTGAGATCGGCCACTCTACTTCAGGCTGGGGGACAGAGCGAGACTCTGTCTCTCAAAAACAAAAGTATGCCTTTTCTCTTCCAAAATTTTTTTTTTTAGAACTTTGGGGTTAAATTTGATTATGAATAGGTACTTGTGTACCTCTCTAACTACCTTCCTGATTTCCATGTATTGTGGCAGAAACTTAAAGCCAAAAAAGACTGTGAATGTCCCTCTTTCAAATGTTAGACCTAGATTCATATTTCACTGTTAGTTTTGTTATTCTTCTAATATGATATGATTTCTAAAAATAAGCATGAGATAAATAATTCCTGAGCATCTATAGATATCTTTTAAGGGAAGTAAAATTCATGTATGCAGAAGATAGGAAGGAAAGTATTGTTAAATTCATACTGGACTAAGGATGGAAGACCTGGTTCCAGAACCGACTCTGCCATCAACTAGTTGAGTGATTTTTTTTTTTTTTTTTTGGTAGACTCTCAAATTCTCTGGCTTTAATTTCCCTGTCTATAAAATTAGTGGGTTGACTAAATGGATTCTGAGTTCAACCTTTAAGATTTGGTCATTTCACAACTAAAATAGCTTTCACCATTTTTAGCTTGATTTAGATAACAACAAAAGTAAAAGCAACATTGTTTGGATGGCATATTTGTTATCTTAGACTATTATGATCCACTTTTTAAATTTACAAAGGTTCTCTTACTCCTCACTGTCACCATTCATTGTCAGGGTTTTCGTTCGCTTGTTTCATTTGGTTTTAAGGCTTCTAGCAGTTTCAAAAATACCACCTAGCCTGTGTTTTCTTATCAGATTTTGTTCCATTTGGCTGACATTTTCTATCTCTTCTCTTTCAGTGGCCTTGTCAAATTTGTAGGGGAACTTTGGCCTCTCACTCAGTAGGAGAGTGGATCTGATCTGAAGTTCTTAATAGGTCAACTGATGATGTGCATACACTAGTACCAATAACGAAAATAAAAATATTAGAAAAAAACAGTAAAATATTCTCCATCCAATACCTACCTTGATCAGAAGAGAATACTAAAAATTTTTCTCAAGACTTTTCTCTCCCCTTCCATCTGCTTCTGTAAACTCTCCTCCCTGTCAAGGTCTGGTCTAGGTTCTAGCTTCTCTATGAATCTACTTGTCAAGTTTTGTCTCTGCTTATTCCTCTTTCCCTTGAATTTCTCTGGTCTTCTTACCATCTCCTTCAGAAAATTTAGTCTCCTTGAGAAAATACCATCTCCTTCAGAAAATATCAAAGCAGCAGGTTATTACTCTCTCAGAGAAACTAGAAATCAAGCTAAAACAGATGAAACAGACTGTCTGGGAGAGTGACCAGATCGTTCAAAGGAAGACTAGGGGCCGGGCACAGTGGCTCACGTCTGTAATCCCAGCACTTTGGGAGGGTGAGGTGGGCAGACCACTTGAGGTCAGGAGTTCGAGACCAGTCTGGCTAACATAATGAAACCCCGTCTCTACTAAAAATATAAAAATTAGCCATGCATGGTGGCACATGGCTGTAATCCCAGCTACATGGGAGACTGAGGCATGAGAATCGCTTAAACCTGGGAGGTGGAGGTTGCAGTGAACTGAGATCGCACCACTGTACTCTAGCCTGGGCAACAGAGTGAGACTTTGTCTCAAAAAATAAAGGAAGACTATGTAAATGGATGTCTGAAGACATTTCAGAATACTGATGTCCTAGTCAGGAGCCTCTCAGAAGGTACCACTGGAGCTCACTTGTAACTAGAAAGACAAAATTCATTAACTGAGCTGTAATACATGCTCCTTAGCCAATATGATGCTTGCTTCTGTACCACTTTGGTCCTACGATGACACAAGGTCCATCCCTTGCTTTATGACTAATCTCGCAATCACATCAACTAGATAAGTTACATTTTTTGGCAGACTCTGAAACTCCCTAGGCTTCAATTTCCCTGTCTATAAAATTAGTAGGTTGACTAGATGGATTCTGAGCTCAGAATAGCCCTATGAATGAACTTTGTTTTTCTCCTAGCCCACATAATGTTGTCAAAGAAGTGATAAATGAGAGATACCTCTGAGCCTGGAGGATACGAGTAGGAGAACGAAGCAGATACTTTAGATGTGAACACGGCATGGTGCTGCATAATGGGAAATCTGTTTTCATTTCTTTCATTTCAGATGCCAAGGGGAAAGTGACTTTACCCCCAGAGAGATTTTTAAATATTCCCCAACTGCTCTGGTAAGTACTGCGTTTATTGTAGAATATGCAGCCTGAAAAGGAAAAAAATAAGTCCTGGGTGCTTGGGTTGTAGAGACATTTCCCAAATATTCAAGGTGTTCTGGAAAAAAAAAAAAAAGGTTCTTGGCCAAGCGCAGTGGTTCATGCCTGTAATCCCAGCACTTTGGGAGGCTGAGGCAGGCGAATCACCTGAGGTCGGGAGTTTGAGACCAGCCTGACCAACATGGAGAAATCCCATCTCTACTAAAAATACAAAACTAGCCGGGCGTGGTGGCACATGCCTGTAATCCCAGCTACTTGGGAGGCTGAGGCAGGAGAATCGCTTGAACCCGGAGGGCGGAGGCTGCGGTGAGCCGAGATCACACCATTACACTCCAGCCTGGGCAACAAGAGTGAAACTCCATCTCATTTAAAAAAAAAAAAAAAAAAGTCTCTCACTGATCCAATAAGTCAGTACGTTTTGGAAATGATGGAAACTATACCCATCACTAGTTTAGATTTTCATTGTGTATACAGTAAAGGTCAGAGAATTCTGGCAGTAAAGAAACTGTTTAACTTTGTGAAATCTCAAGTATCTCAAAGTAGACACACTTTGGAAAATGTTGTAGTAGAGAGTCAAAACATTTTAGCATCTCAAATGTGCCAATAAAGCAAATAGCATCTGATACAGACGTCTTTGATCAAGTGCATAAGCAAAAACTAAGAATATATCTTCAGATATGGGTTGAATGACTTATTATCTAAGAGGTCCAAATAGGTTATAAAAGGAGACCACAGCCAGACGTTTATATTTTCTCCAAAAGAGTGAAGAAAACACTTTCTGAAGAATCAGAACCATTGCTTCCACAATCTGTTTGTGTCAAAATTACCCAGGGTGAACATTTCCCATGCTCTCCTAAAAATTTTGCTGTTCCTGGTCTTGCATTTATACTATATGACAATTAGCTTATGTGTCTTCTTTTTCCTCTCTACCTAGTGATCCTTGACTAAAGGCCATGACTTATTTATTTTTGTGCACCTAGCACAGTGCCTCATAAACACTAGGCATTAATAAATACTCATTGTAGGCCAGGCACAGTGGCTCACGCCTGTGATCCCAGCACTTTGGGGGGTTGAGGTGGGCGGATCACGAGGTCAGGAGATCGAGACCATCCTGGCCAACATGGTGAAACCCCGTCTCTATTAAAAATACAAAAATTAGCTGGGCTTGGTGGCGCATGCCCGTAATCCCAGCTACTTGAGAGGCTGAGGCAGGAGAATCGCTTGAACTAGGGAGTCGGAGGTTGCAGTGAGCCGAAATCACACCACTGCACTCCAGCCTGGCAACGGAGTCAGACTCTGCCTCAAAGAAAAATAAATAAATAAATAAAAATAAAGAAATAAGTACTCATTGGGGATTTGAGGATAGGTAGAAATTCCTAGGTAAAGAAACTAGAATGTGCACAGTCCTTGTGGGAGATGGAGTATAGCATGTTCAAAGAACTGAGAGACAAGATCAGGCTTCACTCCAGGCCTACAAACTCCAAATATCTGTGTGTGGGGGCTCAGGAGCAGCATTTTTCACAAATTTTGCAATTGATTCTAATAAAGTTGGAAAACCATTAGTCTAGACAATAGCACAGTACCATTTAACTGAAAAGTAGCTAAGAAGGCTGCCAAAGCTACTTGCAAACAACTGAAAGTTTAAAATGGTGGTTGCAAGTTGAGGTTAGCCTAAAAATGTTGTTTTCATGCATGATGTAGCTGTTAAATAGTACAGTGTTTACAATAATATGCTAATGATGATGAGTGGGAAGACACAAAAAGGTCATGAGCCCACACACACTCAATTAGAGTGGATACACCTAGATACTGTAATCCACAAGCATTGATTTTGGTCAAACACAGTCAGTTGGAATTTGGTAATTTGTAAATAGCGGCAGAATTAGAGAGTTGGAATTTTTAAAAACATCATCCTGATTATTTGGTAATTGTAAGATTAATGCAGATTATGAAATAACTCATGGAAGAGAGTAGAAATCCAAATTGGTTATTTTAACTTTATGCCTATTTTCTTCATATCTTTCCCCTCAACAACACACACGCGCGCACACACACACACACCAATTCCTATGTAAAAGTTTTAGGGTGATTGAAATATAACTTTTCTGGTTAGGAACACTTGAAGTTGCTTACCTCTGGGATAAGGTTTTGTATATTGTCTTATGGAAACTTGAATAATGACTAGCTTTGCAAAGGGATGCATTTGAGATGTTTGGTCAGAGAAGAAAAAATTGCTCTGTAACACAGAGCAATTTTATTATGTTTTTCCATGTTCCAAAACACTAGAGTGATTCCAAGCCTGCACTTTGGAACTTGAAGATACTTTAAAGTTATTATCTGGGTTCTTTTAATTTTATACTAGTTGGGTCAAGTATGCTATCTCAATGTGTCATTCAGCCCTTCTTGAAAGCATTGTAGCAATGGGTTTTAGCATCATAGCGATATCTGTAGGAAAACAGCCCATTGCATGGCAAGAGTGATGCCATCTTAAAGCAAACCTGCCATGATGACCAATGTTTGACTCCTCCATACCAAGGTGTTCTGCAGCAGGGATCTCCAACCCTGTCTACCAGTCCATGGCCTGTTAGGAACTAGACTGCACAGCAGGAGATGAGTGGCAGGCAACAGAGCAAAGCTTCATCTGTATTTACAGCTGCTCCCCATCACTCACATTACCACCTGAGCTCCACCTCCTGTCAGATCAGTGGTGGCATTAGATTCTCATAGGAGCATGAACCCTATTGTGAACTGCGCATGCGAGGGATGTAGGTTGCACACTCCCTGTGAGAATCTAATGCCTGATGATCTGTCACTGTCTCCCATCACCCCCAGATGGGACCGTCTAGTTGCAGGAAAACAAGCTCAGGGCTCCTACTGATTCTACATTATGGTGAGTTGTATAATGATTTCATTATATATTACAATGTAATAATAATAGAAATAAAGTGCACAATAAATGTAATGCGCTTGAATCATCCTGAAACTGTCCCTCTCCAGTCCATGGAAAAATTGTCTTCCCTGGTGCCATAAAGGTTGACCGCTGTTCTGCAGCAAGGTCTTTAAACAATGCCTATAACATAGATAATCCCTCAGAAAGATGCTTATCTAATGTTCCCAGTGGTCATGACTTTTGGCAAGAAAGTCTGAGATGTGACCAGCTGCACATGACTTTACCTAAAAGCTTGCTATGTAAAGGACACTTTCTGGAGAGTGGGTGCAGGGATCCACTGTCTCACTGCTGCCCAAGACAGCACTACTGTTTGTAAGCCCCTATTAAATATTTCTTTCTGAGAAAGTGGATTTGTCAGCTTCTGCTTTTGGCCTTCAGCTCCCTTGGTCTTTGTGAGTAGGTTTGTATATACCTGCTCACTGCAGAAAAATATTCTACTCCAGTTTGGGATATTTTTGGGTTTACAGATAATCTGGTTACCGGAGGTTGAACCCAGTTCTGACACCAACGCTTATGATCTTTCACTCTACCACACAGTCTTCTGGAAACAAATAAGATGTGGTCTCTGCCCTTGATAGATTCTCCAACTAGCATGGGAGATGGGTTATAAACAAATGACTTGCTGCAGAAAATTTAATGGAAAACTAAGGAAGGTGATGCTGACTCTACCTGGGCGTATCAGGGAAAGTATCACACAGGAGTGGGTATTTATAGTGAGTGTTTCCACCAGGAAAGATAAGCAGAGGGACTTTCCTATGTACAGTAACCTGCTTTCACTCTTAGTTTAAAAAATTAACATTCTCACCCTTTTTTCACAGCCATCGTTGGTGTTACCAATCTCCCATGCTCTCCTAAAAAATTTTCCTGTTCCTGTTTTTGCACTTCTCCTATATAATTAATTTACGTGTCTTCTGTTTTCTCTATACTTAGAGCTCCTTGACCAAAGGGCCATGACTTATTTACCTTTGTGCACCTAGCACAGTGCCTTACAAAGACTAGGTGTTAATATACAGTCATTGGGCACTTGAGGATAGGTAAAGATTTCTAGGTAAAGAAACTAGGATGTGCACAGGCCTTGTGGGAGATGGAGCATAGCATGTTCAAAGGCCTGAAAGACAAGATCAGAATGACTAGCTATTAGGCAGTAGTGGTGGTGGTAGTAATAGAGGCAGAGTGTTCAGGAAGGTGATGTTGTAGGGTAGAGTAATCTGAGATAAAACTGGGACTGGTTGGAGTTAGATCATTAGGATCTTAGAGAACATGTTAAAGATTTTGGTCTTCATCCTAAGAGCAGTAGGAAGCCATGGAACAGAGGGTCAATGGGTAACAGACTGAAAAGTTCACCTGAGCTGTATTGAGGGGAAAGGGCTGGGGACAAATACAGCAAGGGAAAACGTAGAAGGCTATCACAGTAATCCAAATAGTAGATGTGGCTTTTAGTGAAGGTTGGAGGAAGTGCCCCTTTTTCAGGAATACTCTACAGAAAAGTCATATATTTGAGCATAACTACTTGCCTAATCCTTTTAGGATTTTCTTTTCCAATTTTTGCTCTTTATTGCTGACAGGCTCTTTGACAGTGGGTGGCTCTCCAGAAGCAACAGGTTCTCTTCCAGCCTCTTCAGTTGTTTCCTCACAGTCCCCATCCTCGTTGTCAGGTGATTCTGCATTCTCAGGCTGCTCACTAGCCCTGGCAGTGAGACCCATAAGTTTCCCTGCTGTGCTGGCAGCAGACCCATAAGTGTTAATGATGTCTTCCAGCTGTCGATTCAGCTCTTCAGAGATATCGGGGTGCACATCTGCCTCTTTCTCCGGTGGCTGGACTGGGGTTGAAGAATCCTGACCATCTTCCTTCTCCAGGCCATTGTGACGGGGTAATGATGAACTGTCCCCTGGAGGTGTTGACTGTTGTTCCGCTGAGAGCTGTTCAGCGTGATTAGCCTCCATCTTGGGACTGGTATCTAGTGGTAAGCACATTAGGCTTTACACAGCTAACCTAGATGCTACATATCAATGCTTCATTTCAATGGTAAGGATATCCCCCAAGTGAATGCCAACTAATTATGGTCTCTAACATAGAGTGAATGTCCTTTCACAAACCATTGATGTTACAATTATTAAAGTAGGAACACTGAAAAG